GCTCCTTAGGGGATGCAGTGTCAGAGCAATCACAGAATAAATGGGAGTGTTATGGCTCCTTCAGGCACAGGATACATGGGGCCAAACTTAGCTGCAGTGTAAACTGGGATGATTGACTTGATGTCATAATACTACCACAATACTGAGCTTGGCCCAGAAGCTGGTTGTTTTTACAGGGAAATGACTGGATATAGGCATCAGAGTCATAAATGTTCCTGGTTTATTCTGTACTCCCTTGATTGTCCGGTTGAACTTTCCCCACGTTAGGAACAGATTCTGATCTCTGTGACAGCAGTGTAGACCTAGAGACAAGCTTCAGTAGAGTAATACTAGATCTTCATCCAGGAAGGTCCCCTCAGTCTGCCCCTGAGGATCACAGTCTTCTTCAGGCCCAGGCCCTCCAATGGCAGTGATGGTGCCAGTGGCTAGTGTAGCTGGCCCTGGGAACACCTGGGCTGCTCTACATTGAGCCTGACAGCTCTGAGCTTTGTCTTTCCACCAGATATTGTCAATGTATGACCTCATTGTGGTGCAGGAGGTCCGGGACTCTGACCTCAGTGCTGTGAAGAAACTGATGAACAAGCTCAACAGGTACAGGGGTGGGGGTAGGGAGAGAAGCCTGAATCATTGTTTTGGGGTGGTATGCTACATGGCAGATATAGATAAGGACTGTTTGGCAAAGCAGAGAGCAGCACCCCCAAGGTTAGGCTCCAGGATGGCCTGATGAAGCTATAGTGAGGGCAGAGCATGGGGGCTGCATCTTTGCAGCTGGTTCTGTCAGAACTGAGTAAGGACACCTGAGTGCATGGGAGCCAGTCACAGTAGAAATGCAGAAGGGGTTGGATTCAGCTGTGCTGGGCACTGAGCACCCTTGTTTACACCTGAGTCAAGTGAGCGCAGCCTGATTACTGCTGGGACAGAGGCAAGGAAAGGGGGTGTGGGAATGGGTGCCATCATTAGGGCATGGAAGTTAATGTGCAGGACATGCAGGACAAGCCTCTCTGACTGGCAGCAAGAAACTAAATATAGCCTCAAGCAAGATGAGCTTGGGATGATTCTGGTTGTGGAGGGATTAGTGTAGAGGTGGGCCCACAAGCCAGATACTAAGATCTGGAGCCACCTGCATTGCCCAGACATGCAGGTGCTCATCATTCCTTCAGCTCAGTCCCCTAGTGGAAGAACAGTTGTAGTTTGCAGGGCATAGGAATGAGAAAGATACCACCTGAGTTCATAGCATCATAGAAGAGCAGAGATGGAAGGGACCTCAAGAGGTCACATTCAGTTGAACCCCATGCTCAAAGCAGGCTCATCCCTGTCTAAATGATTCCAGACACATGTTTGTTTAACCTACTTTAAAATACTTCAGGGACAAACCCTCAAACTACCAGGCGCAATACCTGAAACATCAAAACACCCTTAAATTAGGGTGACCATATGTCTTGTTTTAGCTAGCATAGTCCCAGATTTCATGGGCTGGTCCCAGCAACTGTTGGGAATTATAATGGGCATCCCAGAAACTCAGGGGCACAGTCTGGCCTGGAGTCAGAGCAGTGTGGAGCACCTCGCAAGCACCATTGCCTGCCTGGCATACAGCCTTGCCCTGCCGACTTGTGAGAGCTGGGAAGGGGCGGTGGACAGCATCCCTGGTTTCCCAGATGATGTCTCAGATTTCTAGGATTTCCATATGGTCAGCCTACCTTTACCTTGCCATCGGTAAAGCAGGGGGATGAGTGTGCTGTCAGTGCTTTGCCACTGCAAGGCCACCTAAGCCTGGGGAGAGCTTGGGCGCCATGGAGGCACCTGGTATAGAGGAAGATATCTTCAGAAGTGCAGCAATGTCACTGGATGTAGTGGAGATGGGGTGGGAGTGGGGAGAGGATGCTGGGGCTAGGGGTGGAGAGACATGCTGCTTGTTTGAGATGCTTGTGGTACACAGCTGCCTTACCCCCTGCACAGGTCTTAGTGCTGGCTCTTCCTTTGCCCTCTCCAGAATGTCACCGCATCTATACAGCTATGTGGTCAGCCTACCCCTGGGGAGAACCTCCTACAAGGAACAGTACCTCTTCATTTACAGGTAGCAGCCCACCAGCACAGCCAGTGCTGGCACCAGTGCTGTAGGTAGTTGCGGGTGGTCATCCCAGGCAGTGCTGGTTAGGGGAAGGTGACCTGTTCTGGGCAGAGCCAGGCCACCACTCCCTTGGCAGGTGCACATTGCTTTGGTTGTACAGCCCAAGGCTTTTGCTGCTGCCCTCTCCCTGCCAGGGCTGCTGAGGGAACCAAACAGCAGGTCCAGACTCTACGCTGAACCAGTGACTGCATGTGTGGTGACGTCTGGGGCACCTGCAGGGTTAAACACATTCTGGGTCCCTCTGCTGGTGAGGCTGCCAATCACTGCTGATCCCTGCCTTTAGCACCCCCATGCCCCTGCAATGTATCCCAATTAGCGCGACATGGCTGCTCTGTCTCATTTCCTGACAGGACAGGGATGATGTCTGTTGTGGACAGTTACTATTATGAAGACGGCTGTGAGTCCTGTATGAATGACACCTTCAGCAGAGAGCCCTTCATCGTGAAGTTCTCTTCTCCTCACACAGGTGGGCTGGGCTGTAGGGATCCTAGCTGCATGGTGTTTAGAGCACCCATTCACCAGACTTAGCTTGTAAGTGGGCTGGCAAATTCCTGCTCCCTCCAGAGAACCATTGGGGATGTAACTAAGACGTCTGCAGCAAATTTGAAGATGCTGCTTCTGACACAGAGGCAAGCCAGGATCCAAACCCAGGACAGGCACAGGGATGGTTTGAAACACCATATCCCGCTCCTGGCAGGTCAGGCTGCTCATGACCAAGGTCAGAATCAGGGATCAGTTCAGTCCCCATGGAGACAGGTGCCCTCCTGTTGCATACCCCTGCCTTAGGTGACTCCATTGCTTCCCAGGTGTATTCTGGTTACGGGTTTTATGGAGGGCAGGGTGTCTGAACTGCCTTATAAGCCCCAGAGCATTAATTCCCCTATGGACCAGCCCCTGGGCCCCTCACATAATTAGTGAAGTTGCTCCTTCTGCAGTGGAGAAGTATCATCCTCAGGCCTTGGGCAGCTACACTCTCAACCAGCTCTACCCTAGGATTCTCTGGCAGCCTTTCCCCACACTTAGCCCCTTTCTGCACCCTGCTCAGCTACTCTGTGATGCCCTTGGCAGGCTGCTTCCTCAGTATTCAACCACCCAAGACCACATTTGGGACTGACTCCAGGTCTGGTGGTATCAGTTACACTATCATGTGGCTGCGGGTGCGCTGGGGAGGCCAGCATGGCAGACTGGAACTACTGGCACTTCAAGGACACACAGTGCTGCACCTGCAAAGGGGAAATAACTGGTCCAGGTGAACTGTGTCAGAGTGGATATTTCCTAAAAACCACACAGAACTGGCCTGTGTTCTGAGCACCTCTCTAGGCATTTCCTGTCTTGCAGCACCCAGACGGAAATAATTCTGCAGCTGGAACATTAAGTGCCATTGTGCTGCTGAATGGGGATAGATTCTCAGGGCCAGATTGTATCTACCTGTTAGGCACCTAAGTGTAATCCCTATTACACCCTGCTTGCTTCTGAAAAAGGAGTTAATACAAAAGGTGGGTGAGTCCTCTTCCTCCTCACTGCCTTTTTGTGAGGCAATCCTAAGGGTCAGATGATGTTACAAATCTTGATCGGTAATGAATTTTCAGGAACTTGAATAGGGTGGTATAGCGTCTCATTTACATACTTAATAGGCAGAAAAGAACCTGACCCTCAGAGCCAGGCTGGCCCTGAAGGCTGACAGGAAGGAGGAGCTGTAGCATCTTAATGTACCACCACCATGCTACAGTACTACCTGATCTGCCTGCCACAAGCAGAGAGCTTGGTTGGCTGTGTGGGGTGTGGCTATTTCCACACCACTTTCCTGCCCATATCTGGTGTCTAGGTTAAGCTCATTTCCACCTTATCTCCTTCATGTGACATGATGAAAGAGCTTTGAAGGCAATACTACTTTGTCCCTTGAATATACAGTTGGGTTTGTTCTCTTGTATGGAAAAGTCACAGCTGTGCATGTGCATGTATGAGATGTGTGTGTAACTGCTGTTTCTCTGGCAGAGGTGAAGGAATTTGTGCTGGTGCCTCTGCATGCGTCCCCCAATGAGGCTGCTGCAGAGATTGATGCCCTCTACGATGTCTACTTAGATGTCATCAGCAAGTGGGCGACAGATGTAAGCAGATGGGTCCACACATCATGTGGAAGAATGCATCAGCTTCCTCTTCCTGTGATATAACTTACCTAGGGGCTGAGGAAGAACTGTAAAGGCAGACCCAGTGATTAGGCTTTGCTCTGGAATTGTGCTGAAGGCCATCCTCAGTGATCCATCTGTTAATGGGTGATTTGGGCTGGGGATTAAAAGGCAAGTCAGTGCAGTGCCAGCCACATCATTCCCTTGTGTGCTGTTGGCTACAGGAACTGGCGTGATAGCTTGCTAGGCTGATGGGCCACCAAGGATGGGGATAGACTTTCTCCTTTTCTTGTTCTAGTCTGAGGTGGTTTGCTTTCACTCTGAGACAACAGCTAACTTGGTGATAGAAGGTCCTGGTGCTCCATGCTCTGACTGGTCTTCATCTCCTGTGGAAAGCACTTCAAGCCTGCTGGGCAGGTGTCACCCCTGGTTTGGCCCAATACAGGG